TCGATAAAGTGCGCCGGGGACCGCGGATGAAGGGCACCCGCGCCGACCCCATGGAGGGAGCCCCCTACCTGGAGTTCTACCTGGACCGGTGCGCCGCCCAGGTGAGCCTGGGAGCCTGCAGCGCCACGCGCCCCACTGGGACCTCCAAGGCCCCAGCCCCCGTGTATCGCAGACCAGGCGTGGGGTCGGGTGGGGACTGGGAATTGGGTCAGGCAGATCACCAGGACGGCTGGAGAAGGGGTCGCCCCGGGCTTGGCATTGCGAGAGGTGACTGGAGGCACCTGAGGCTTCTTCCGGTTAACTCTCAATTAGGTTCAGGGGATTGAACCCGTGGCCTTCGCCCGGAGCCACGGCCCAGTCCTTTCTCTTCACGTTTTGTGACAAAGGCTCACCGCGGGTCAGATAGCTCAGGCTGGCCCTGACCCTGGGCTCCAGAGACCGTCCTTCCTCAGCTACCAGGACCGCAGGTCTGCGCCTCCACGCCACGCAGGGTCTCATCTCAAACTTTTAGAGTCAAGGTTGGAGAAAAGACGACGGTGTATTCCAACAAGAGCAAAAAGCCACTGTTTCTTGCTGAGGGTTTGTTGTAAAAGGCAAGGATGGTGGGTCGCGAGGGCACAGCCTGCTATCCCAGGCCGCGGGGCTCCAGAAGGAGAACGGAAGGCCCAGCCCCAGCGCAGGCTGAGTGCAACCTGGAGGCCGGGGTGGGGATCCGGAACGTCCTGTTTTTCGCACGCGCGCACGGAGCAGCGTTGAGGGGGAGACAGCGGCGCCCCCGGGCAACCCCTGGTGTGGGCAGGTGAGAGCAGGGCCACGGGGCTGGGACCCCCGAGGTGAAGGCTCTGCAGAGTCCTCTCAGCGGGTCCTCCGCCCTGGGACCTGAGCACGGAACAGGTGCACCCCACGTGTGTGCTTAGTGGCGTGGATGAGAGCTCGGCCGCCTATTGATGTGTCCTGATGGGAGGAGGAAAGCGAGACCCTGCAGAGGCCCTCACCTGCTGGACGGGAGAGGAGTCAGGCCGGGTCCTTGCCGGTTTTCCGGGGCCGCCCTTTCGAGTGGAGAGAAATGGGCCGACAACACAATTCCAAAAGAGATCTTGTTTCAAGAGAGTCTTGTCGTGTTTCCAGAACAACGCAGTAGGACCAGGCTGGCTGTTGTGTTAGCACAGGTAGCTTTGTCTCCAGGGGTGCAAAGCTGTGTGCACCCCCTTTCAGATGTCAGAAGTAAGATCTAAGGGGGAGGTGGTCCGGTAGGCAGGGCTCAGCTGTGTAAAGCAGGTGGTAATTCACATAGGGAGGAGATGGGCTTTTTTCAATGATAAAACCCATGCATTTTCCATCAGCGGCTTCACTTGGGTGCACCTCATCTCCTGACCATCTTTCCTCGTCTGAACTGCAAGTACAACACTTTGACTTCAACTTTTTTTTTTTTTTTTTAATGGTAGCAGAGATTGAACCCAGGGCCTTTACACCAAGGTACATGTCCAGCCCTTTAGGATAATTTTTTTTAGATGGGTCCTGCCTAAATTACTAAGTTGCACAGGCTGTGTTTAAATTTGCGAGTCTCCTGCCTCACCCTCCTCATAGTGCTGGCTTTCAGGTGTGCACCACCATTTCTGGCTTAAACTTTTTGTTCAGTTTTCTTGGTGCTGGAATTGAATCCAGTGCCTCATGCACGTTGAGGCAAGCACTTAACCCCTGAGCTACAACCCCAGCCTGAACTATTCTGAACATTTAATTTAATTACTTTCTTCCTGTTGTGAATTCATACAACTGGAATGTTTTCTTATCTCTCCTTTGACTAGATAAAAATGATGCAAGGTCATTTTGAGTATTAGCATTCAAGACTATATCTCAACTTCACATAGTTTTCTTTCTAAACCTAAACATTATTTAAGTTAACTGAATTTATAATGAACTCAAGCAATAAATATGGTGAGTCTGTTCAGTGTCTACACAATATAGAGCGTTGTTGCTCAGTTGCCTCTTTTACAAAATTGAATTTAGAATTGCAAGTTACTAGAGACGTCATGCAAGTAGGAAAAGCATTTTGTGACAGATGTCTTCTCTGCATTTAAAATAAACTTCCCTGTTTCTATGTGTAACACTGTCATAGGCTAGAATGTGACTGTGTAGAAAGAGGATGAATATGAACAATCTCCAACAGCTGCTCAGACTGAACGCACTGCTTGCCTACCACAGTGGTGTAACACACTGCTTTATTGTTGTGTTTTTCTTCCGGGAGCTGTGCAGGATGACCTTGTCCCAGCCTTGTCTCCTCTGCTCAGCCCAGTTGTCCCTTATGATGTATACATGCCTGACCCACCCAGCCCAGATACTATATCGGAGTCACATCTTGAAGTCAAAGACACCTCCAGTGATTTCTCATCTGTGGATCTTAGCTTCCTACCAGATGAACTCACTCAAGAAAATAGAGACCACATTGCCATTAAAAGCCAGCATGAAATTGAAGATAATGGTAAAACGCAAAATCATCAAAATAAGTTGCCATTACCTAGCGAACAGAATGGTGAGGTGGGCTTACACAGCAGCAGTTTATCAAATTCCTATGCACATCTGCACCCTGGTGCTGCTGACTCAGCCCAGCCCTCAGCTGAGAAACCAACCACAGATGCCTTGCCTCTGGTGGCCATGACTCCCATGACTCCAGTGACACCAGCCTCGGAGTGCTCAGGCATTGTGCCTCAACTCCAGTAAGTGTGTCTGCCTTATCTTATTTTGCCCCCTTTAAAAATGAGTGTATGTTTGCACTATTAAATTGAGGGATGCTCCTGGGTACACATTTTATATTCCTGAATGCTATGACAACTAATTTTGGGATAACAGTGAAAGAGAATTTCAAATTCATTATTCTTTATCAGTTTTGAGTGAGTTATTGTTTTAAACATTTTGCTCGTTTGTAAAATGAAGCACTAATTCTTGAACCCTTCAAGGAGGGTGAAAAATTAATAGATACATTCTTGAAGGGTTGTTTTGTTTATACTACCCCACTGAAGTTGCTGCAAATTGTGGTTCAGGTTGGGAAGACACAAAATGGAATTTGATTTGTAAATCGATTAGGAATTGTGGCTTCTATTTTGAGGTGTAGTTTTTTTTTAAGGTTTAATAATTTTAGTCATGAAATTTTAGAAAAAAACTGTTTTGGCATGTTGGGATTACACACTTTACCAAAGACTATGTTACTCTATGTTTTACACTGAAAATAACTCTCGGACTGCAGATTGAGCTCAGTGGTTCTGCCGCCTCCCTTATAAGCACAAGGTCCCGAGTTCGATCGCTGGTACCCAGCAAAACAAAACAAAACAAAAAATTCTCCCTCTGAAAGTTACTAAGGTGTAATCTATGAAATAAGGAAGTTAATAGGTTTGTCTTTTTATATTCTATCCTATGTAATTTTCTAATTTGACTTGTTTCTTTAGGAATATAGTTTCCACTGTAAACCTGGCCTGCAAATTAGATCTGAAGAAAATAGCTTTGCATGCCAAAAATGCAGAATATAATCCAAAGGTAAGACTTCTTAGTATTGCTGTCAACCATTCACTTTTCTTTAAATTTAGCTCGCTTCCTATGATTATGATGTTGACTCATTCTTTTGTTTTTTTCTTTAAAAATTTTTAGTGAAAGGTTTAGGCAATATAAAAATTTAACTATCTCACTTTCTGTTTTGAAATTATAAGAAATAATTTCATTGTGCTAAATAAATCAGTATTTTAGTAGTTTCTATAACTAAGATTTTTTAAAAAGCTGCTGTGGTGGCACATGCCTGTAATTCCAGCACTCAGGAGGCTGAGGCAGGAGGATCACTACAAATTAAAGGCCATCCTGGGCTATATAATGAGTTCAAGGCCAGCCTGAACCACCTTGTCTCAAAAAAAAAAAAAAAAAAAAACCAAAACAAAATGTGAAAAATAAAGATTTTTCTTTGTCAGTCAGGATCTTTCAGTATGACTATTTTTTAGCCTAATGGCTTTCTTAAAATGCCATCATCTTACGGAAAACACTTGCTTCTAAATGTTGCCCCACCTAGCTGGTACTTTGGTGCTTTTCCATTTGCAAGTTGTCTTATTTGAGCAAACTAAATTGTCTAAATTCTGATTACTAAAGTAAGATTCAGGGATTTTTTTCCTCCTCAAAGTTTGATAACAAAGTTTAATTCTTTGTGCTTTTCCATGGAGGCATCCTGTTTCCAGTGACCTGTTTATCATTGGATTTGCTAAGCCAATTAATATGTAATAGTTTGCCAGGCTTTGTGCTTGGGGTACAAACATGAGTATGACCTGGTTCCTACCAATGAAATGTCCACTGGCTTAGTGCAGGTTGGGGAACACTTACGGGATCGTAGCAGTAAGAATCCAGGCATCAAGTTTAAATAGCTACTTAACTCTTTGTCCACTAGGAAAAGATAACTCAAATTATCCTATTAAGAGGCTAAATGAGGAAAAAAAGCTGCAAAATTCTTAGGTTGGGATCTGCTGCATAACAGATACTCAAAATTTACCTGTTACTTTTACTTGTTATTAAACTTATACTTCAGAATCAAAATCTTTTTATTTATTTTCTTTCTTTCTTTCTTTTTTTCTTTTCTTTTTTTTTCCTTTTTCTTTTCTTTTTTTTTCCTTTTTCTTTTCTTTTTTTTTTTTTTTGTACTGGAGATTGAATTTGGGACCTTGCACTTGCAAGGCAGGCGGTGGCACCACTGAGCTAAATCCCCGGTCCCAAATCATTTCTATTAATGTGGAGAGAACAGATCCAGACATTGGTTGGCTCTATCATCCAGTCTCAGTTTCTTCGGACTGTTTTCATATCCAGCCTAGCTTTCCAGCTAGGCCAGGTTAATTCCTAGCAGGGGCTGATTCTTTCCTGGCTTCTGTGTTGTTTTCCTCTTGGATCTGTGCACAGAGGTTTGCTGCTGTCATCATGAGGATCCGAGAACCCAGAACGACATCCCTCATCTTCAGCTCTGGGAAAATGGTCTGCACGGGAGCCAAAAGGTATGGAGAAATACCCCAAACCTTATCAGACACGCAGTTCACTGTGAAAGCAAAGGACATGGCCTTAATATATTTGAAATCACATTGTAGGAGCAAAATATTTTTCTTAGCTGAATAGTTAACATGGTGAAATGCAAAATTTTGAGTTAAAATCACTCAGCCTTACAGTACTGAGTTACACTCCACACTTTACAGCCTCTTCTGCCCATGAAAATGGGCAGTGTGCTAGTGAAGGATCTGGATCAGAGACCAAACACTTGGTGTGGTCCAAACAAGCAGATCCAAATTGGCTTTAGCACCAGGAGTTCACTGGCACCCAGCACAGGGGCCTTCCCTGGGGAGAATGGTGTCCACGCCTCGCCCCAGGTGTTGTCCCTGAGTGGTACTCTGTGTTCTGTTTTACTGGTAACAGTGGAGAGGTAGGCAATAAAATACAGACTCAAATCTCAGCAATTCACATTCCCTGATGCGGATTTAGGGTTAGGATACGGTAAATACTTGAGGGACACAGCCACAATGTTGGATGAGTTTCCTCCTTGTGCTGGGTGTGAGTTGAATGACAATTGTGTGAGAAAACCTGAACACGACTGGGCACATGTGTAATCCCAGCCACTGGGGCAGCTGAGGCAGGAGGGTTGCAAATTGAAGGCCAGCCTGGGCAACTTAGCAACATCTTGTCTCAAAACAAAATAGGTTGGGGTGTAGTTCAGTGTTTCCTGGGTTCAATCCCCCATAATTAAAAAATGAATAAAAGTAAACTGGGCAGATTTTGAGGTATTTTAGCATACCTATGTACTGAGTGGAACAAATGTTTTTTAAAAATTAAAATCTGGTTCAGCATTGTACACTGTATCAGACCCAGGACACCGGGAGGAAGGTCTCTCACAGAGCTAGTACACTGCCAGGTGGACACGGTCAGAGCACAGTCAGAAGCTTGAGCGTGAGTGCGGGGAATGTGGGAGGTGCGGAGGTCAGAACGTCTTTAACCTTATCTGCTCCTCCCCAGTGAAGAGCAGTCTCGACTGGCAGCACGCAAGTACGCTCGTGTGGTGCAGAAGCTGGGCTTTCCTGCCAAGTTCCTTGATTTCAAAATTCAGAACATGGTTGGGAGCTGCGATGTGAGATTTTCCATCAGGCTGGAGGGTCTGGTGCTCACTCATCAGCAGTTCAGTAGGTATGACACTTACCAAGCTCGACTGTGTGTTAATGAGATACTGAAGTCACATTATGGGCCGCTTATAGGGTGTTTTTCAGAGACAATGTGATTAACTTAAAAGAAATAAGGGTGCAGAACAGTAGATCAGAGGGCTAAGCTGCTGTTCGTGGGGCCTCATCCATTCCTTCAGGGCTCAATCTTTTGCAGTTGCGATGCTCACACTACATGGTATATCAGTCACCTGGAAAGCTTAACAACCCCATATTCGTGGCAGGGCTGTTCAACAGAGACCTTGCTCACATTTACAGCCCTGAAAACCTCACCCATGACGCCGGGGCTGCTGGCTAGAGGCTCCTGTGTGGAGGCCCACTGATCCTCAGGCCTATAAAAAACGGACCAGTGGCCCTGGTGACGGCAAGAAGTGTGACATGGGCTGGGCAAATAGGAAGCAGCTGACAGCTGTGAGGGGAAGAGGTTTGCAGAGAAAGTGAAAGTAGAATCTCTGCAGCGTGCCATATGAGCGCGATCCTCTCTGGTTGCCTTGTTCTGTCGATTGCGGGGGGGGGGTGTCTTCCTGTATAGCTCTAGTCCTACCACAGTGTCATTTTCAGTGCATTCCTGCTCCTTAGGAGCACCTCCATGGTCCACAGCTGCTCCAGTACTTTCCCTCCATGCAGCCAGTGCTCCTTGCTGTCTGCAGCTGCTTTGGTGCACCTGCCCTGCAGCTGTGGAGGGACAGCAGTGGGGTGGGGTGGGGGCCAGGCGAACACCAGCAAATTCCTGTCCTTCCAGGGCTGTGTGCCAGGGCCCAGGCCCCAGACTTGATCCAGAATCACAGTGCAACCATTAAGGAAATCAGTATGGAGAATCCTCAGAAAGCTCAAACAAGAAATTTCAATTAACCCAGCTACGCCCCCGCTCCCTGTTACTCATTTTATGTACGTGTGTGTGTCCATCTATCTATCTATCCATATATATAGCATTGTAGGTTTCATTGCTCTTTCTAGGACATCTTTGAGAATCTTTTGGAGTGCTGACTTGGTGCTCATGAATTGAGGCTCTTCGTCATGGAATGACCTTTTTTCTCATCATTTTAAAAAGAAAGTGCGGTATATACATGTCTGGGTTGGAAGGTGTTATCTTTTAGGGCTTGAAACACTTCACTCCAAGCTCCTCTGGCCTTTAAGATTTGTGTGGAAAAGTCTGATGCACTTCTAATGTGTTTATTTCATAAGTGATTTGTTGTTGCTTTTCTCTAAGCGCTTTTAGGATTCTGTCCTGAGTTGGACTTCTGGTGTTGACGGATGTGATATGGAGGGGTCTCTTTTGAATGTGGCTGTTTGGAGTTCTGCACACATTGCTTATCTATATGCATAATTCTTTCCAAATACTTGAAAGTTTTCTGTCATCGTTTCTATAAACAAATTTTTATACCTTCTGTACTGTCTTTTGATTTTTCACTTATTCCAATTCCAAGTTTCTGACTTATGAATATTTGAGTTGCGAACTTTCACAGATGCAAATGGACCCCATGTCAGGAACGTTCATAGGTGTGAACAAGTTTGCTGCTGCAGCTGTGCTGCTGTGTGCTCACTGTACGGTGTGACAGTGTCCAGCAGAACAGGGCTCGGAGCCCGGGATGTCCAAGAGTGAGAGGAAAAGCGGTGGCATCGTGGAGGGGACTGCTAGGAAGCACGAAGCGATATCCATGGAAACAAGAGTGATACTAGCTTATTTACAGTATTTTGGTGTGTTTGGTTTTTTGTGCTTTACATATTTGTCTCAAAGGTGTATGAGACTCACTTTGTCAGATTTATGAATGAATCCGATTTAAGAGTGTTCTCCCAGAATGGAACTTGTTCATATGTCAGGGACTTACTGTATTATCAAGCAAGCTGTTGTCTTGTTATTTTTAAGGTATCTCTAAGTAACTGGTGTTTCAAAGCTATCTTAACTTCTGGTTCTGATATTCTATCCTCACTTCTGCTGCCGTACTTTCATTCCAGTGTTAGTATATGTGCTGCTGAAGTGGGTGCAGCTGCCCATACTTTTAATATAATCCTCAATCTTCTGGTTTCTGTTTTAAACCTTTTCACGGATTCTAGCTTTTTGCTAAACCGGTCATGTTTTGTAACCCTTTGCGTAGCTCAGCTAGCTTTTGATTAGGGTCTTCTGTAAGCCCCTGACTGATACATTATCTCCATTATCTGATTATATTTCTGTGAGCTTGGCAAGCACCTCACTGATCTGTTTTTAATCTCCTTTGATATCCTTTCAGATATAGTCTGTGAGGCTTTTGCTTTTCTCCCCCTCACTGCCCTATGTGTTAGCTTTGGGGGAGTTGGAAGTTTGGGGAGGTGTTTTGTTGCCCCATCTCTAGTTTTTGCTTTTTTTGAGACAGGGTCTAGTTATGTAGTGCAGGCTGACTTTAAACTCACTATGTAGCCCAGGCTGGCCTCAAACTTGTGGTGATCTTCCTGCCTCAGCCTCCTGAGTGCTGGGATTATAGCTGTATATCACTACACCCAGCTTTATTGCTTTTTGTTTATTGTTTTGTGCCTATGTATGCAGTCCCTTACAGTGGAAAGACTTTGTTGCTAATGCAGTGGTTCCTTGGTTCATGAACTTACTTTGTTCCATGATTCTGGTCTTGAACCAAATTAAACTTCTCCTTAAGGTTCAGTGTAAATAAGGTTAATTTCTTCTGAACCCCACAAACTTGGTCAAGAACTGATTTTGATCGCAAACTGGGTCAAATTTTCCCTTAAGGCTCAATGTAAATGAGGTTAATCTGCTCTGAACCATATGCATTTTTTTAACCACAAAAATATGAAGCAAAGAACAGCACAGTACGAAGAAAGAGAACACTAGTCTTAGGTGACTTCTGGTGTGGAGGACAGGAACGTAGATGGGGAGGGGCTACTGTTTGGAGGAGAGTCCCCCTCCATAAGGACACTGGAGAGACCTCCTCAGGGGTTTCCTCTCTTCTTTGTCTTTTACTTATAGGGTCAAATTTGAAGAAAAATCTGCCTAATGTCACTTGAATTTTCCTGTACTGTATAACCCCCCAGATATGAAAGACCATATTATCATTCAACAGATTCAACACTGTTTATAACAGTTATGTTGGGCTGGTTCTTAGTAAAGAAATCCCAGTGCTCATTCTGTTTTTCCATAATGGATTTTATCACATCCCTGCTAGCCTCTTCCTTGTCTTCCTCGGTGGAAGGCTCCTCAACAGGTGCCTTCTGCTCCTCATTCTGGAGCTCGGCAAGTTCTTCCGTTGCCGTCTCCTCAGCAAGCTCCTCTATGTCTGCACCATCAACGTCCACACCCACACGCCTGCCCATGGACACAATCTCCTCCACTACCTGTGCCTCAGACCCTTCAAGGTCACATTCAGTGATACATTCTGGCCACAGTTTCCTCCAGACTGAGATTAAAGCCCAGTGTGTGACATCTTCTCAGGGTTTGTCAATGAGGTTGATGCAAAGGAGGACACTAAAATGTTTCAGAACTCTTTCACAGTCAAGAATGTCTCTTCAGTGATATTAAAACACCTGATGTAGAGCATCTTAAAGATGCAGATGACTTGCTGATCCATGAGCTGCAGAAGAGGCGTTGTGTTGGAAGGAGGAACTTAACTTTTATGAAGTCATACTCAGTGTCCATACCATCCATCAAGGAGGGTGTGCAGGGGCAATGTCCATCTGAAGAAGGCACTTTTCAGGCAGTTGGTTATCAGATATTCTTGACGATGGGTGCAAAAACTTTGTGTAGCCATTCCATGAATGACAGCCTTGTGACCAAGCTTTCACACTGGATGTCTACATAACAGGAAACCTGGCCTTGTTCACATTGTGTTACTTGAATGCATGAGGGGTCAGGGAATGGTACATCAGTGGTGGCTTAATCTTCAGATCGGCACTTACTTTCACACACAGTAAAAGGGTCAATCTGTCATTCATGGGCTTTGCCCTAACAGTGCCTTTTCCTCCTTCATGATATAGGTTTTGTTAGGCATCTTCTCCCAGGAGAGCACTGTTTCATCACAGTTGAGCACATGTTGAGTGATGTATGCTTCTGCCTTCATGAATTCCGTGAGTTCTTTCTCTTAGGCGTCTGCAGTGGCCTTGTCAGTACTGGAAGCCTCACCAGGTCTTGTTACACTGCGGATGCCACTTCTCTTGTGGCATTTATCAAACTGTCCCCTACTAGCTTAAAGTTCATCACTTGTTGCCCTTGTAGAAGGGTTTTCTTGCAGGAAATCACTGGATAATTTCCTGGATTTTTCACAGATCATACCTTCATTAATGCTATCACTTCCCAGCTGTTTTTCATTCAACCACACTAACAAAAGTTTGACCATCTCTTCTAACACTTGTGTCCTGTGCTTGGTTAATATCATTACTCCTCCTTTGGCCAATTGGCTCCTTTGATGGCATCTTTATTCTTCAAAATAGTTGAGGTTGTCGATTTGGCATCCTGTGCTCTGAGGCCAGATCACAAATACCACATTCATGCTTTTCTACAAATTGCTGCTTCAATTAAATGGTTTTCTTCAAAACCTTACTATTCTTGCTCTGCACTTTGTCACCATCACCCCTCTGCATATTTTTGTCACCTTCATTACTGTTCTGCAATTTCTTTTACTACCATGCTTGCTTTTCACTTTCTTTGGAGCCATGCTGGATTGAATAATATTGTACAGCACTGTATGTGCTAAAAAGTACACACAAAGACTCCACAGCAAGTGTGCACAGGTCTGTCCATGACTGTAATGTCAACAGGGGAAGCTACAATTGATCACAAGTCAGAGGGGGAAGATGGTCACGGTTGTGTTTGTTGCCTGATAAGGAGTTTGCAAATAGAGGCATACCTTTGTCAAATGCTTCTGCTCAAGAACCGAACTGTTTGGGAACAGAAGCATTCGTGAACTGAGGCATTACTGTATAGATATCTCTTTAGTCTGCTTTTCAGTGTTCTACTCAGGGCATGTCTAACCATAGCCCTCTGCC